AAAAAAAAAAGAATTTCTGATTGTGAATTACATTTCAGACCATTCACTCTGCATCCAGCAGTTCAAACCACTCATCACTCCTCCCACCCCCTGATCTAGTTTCTTAACAAATGCTTAAATTATCTTTCTAGAAGCTAGGATTCTAAAATACCATCTGATCTGTACAATGCAGTTGTTTAAATAAAATAACAAAAATGTTGACTAATCCTCAGTATGTTTTTCAGTTTTGTCTTAGCTACCTTCACTTGTCACCATCATGTCATTTTATACTCTTATAGACTTTGTTTTAAAGTTCCCCTCCCTAAATGCGGTAAAAATTTCTTGGCCATTAGGAAGCTGGTTTGCAAGGTCAGCAGTTCACCCCCACCACTGCTCCGTGGGAGAAAGATGAGGTTGTCGGCTCTCATAAACAGTTGTGCTCTCGGAAACACGATGAGTCAGAGCCAGGCTGAGGGCAGTGCATTCCGGCTTTACCTTGCAGATTAGAGGGAATGAGAGACTCCCTTTTGCCCAGGCTATCAGAAATTCTACATTTCATACTCAGCTCCAGAAGCCCCCACAGTTCATCACGGTCCTTTGTTCCTGTTTGGATCTATGATGACTTTTGGCTATTTTGCCTTTACCTTAATAGACATATAATATAATTACAGACAGTTTAATATTTGTTGAGACAAAAGAAAATGAATACTAATTTAATATATGCTTTTTTGGAATAATGCACATTAGGTATAAACATTTTCGAATGTCTCTCAGCTATTGAAAGTTATACCTCCGCTACTTTGATTCCCCTTGCTGTTGGAGTTGGGGAGTAAGTACTCTTAAACTTACCCCGTTGATGCCAGAAAACTGCTGGGCCATGTGTAGCATCAGAGCTGCTAGGATGGGCTGTCGGTAGCTGGAATTGGTGAAGAGCTGAATTATGGAGACTTTCTGTTCTCTTAGAGTTTCTTCCTTTTCCTTTTTTATCTCGGTCATGTCTTTGGTGACATCAGTACATCCTCTGAGCCTTTTCAAGCCTGTGCCCCCAAATGGTCAGGTTTAATCGACTCGAGTCAAAGACAAAAATGAAGTTTACTTTTACAATGTCAATGAAAGAGCCACAATTTCACGCAACACTTGTGGCTTGTCGTGTTAAGTATATGTACTTATACTATTGCGTAAGTATAGGAAATTATTATTGTGTTAAATTAAATATTGATATTCTAGAAAAAGGAAGCTGAATATTTGGCTTCACCCCATGACAAGGAATGTGATCCTTCTAGCCATAGAACCATAACACTGGGAGGGCCTGTAAGAAGCTTCTAACTAAGTCCAAAACCCTCCATGTGAGTTTTCTGGGTAGAGCAGGAGTGAACACTTATGGGTGCAAAATGGCATGCATGCACCAATTACATGCAAGTGATTCTGCACACTCTTCTTACAGGGAGTCAGGGGCTTCACCTGGAAGGCATGTGCCTGTCTTCACAAGTAGACATTCATGCACACTCTTTTGCAGGAGCCGAGGATTCCAAAACAATGCGAAAGGAACAATGAGCAACCCACAGCCTTACTCTGCTTTGCTTTGGCTTCCTCTTCTAACGTGATGTAAAGGTACTGAGGGCTTTCTGGACAGAAGAGGAGCAGTAGAGACTGGAGTAAGGCTCTTGCAGCAGGAAGGCCCAGCATGATGTGCCACAGGTCGGCATTGCCCAGGACAAACTCAAGGCCAACAACCTGAAAAGGCAGGTAGGAAGCATATCAAAAGCCCAGCACGGTGAGGCTGCCTTCCACAGCAACTTGATTCCTGACAGCTTTGGTTCAAGTATTCACAGGATCGGGGCTTTTGCTAGTGTGTTTCCCCTTAAACTAACGTAGAGACTGTTTGTTTTACAAAGAATCCACCTGGATTTGTTTCCACCCACTCCAATGGGACACTTAAGATAGGAATCAACCAAACTATCAAGAACACATAGGATCTCTAAAGCAGTACACATGTAGTCTCCAAGCAACTAGATGGGATTATATTGTATTAAAATCACGAGTAACTTTAACCTTTGCTTATAAGTTCTTTCCTAGATAAATAGGTTGGACCTTTATGCACAAAATATTAATGTGACAGAATCAGGCTTGGGATAGACCGCCCTCTGAATAGTCCTCGGCCTTGCGTTACCAGCGCTGCCTCTGAGATCTCGGGGTAAGAGGAAGACTGAAGCCAGGCTCCAAGCTGCCAGCCCACTTGACCAATAGCTTTTGTGGTGATTATTTATATATTAGAATTCCAGGTAAGACGCTTCAGACAAACTATCCATATTTGAAGCTTTCAACCCCTTGAAATCTAAAAGAATCCTTTCATTCTAGAAACAGCTCTGGAAATGCAAGTGAGGTTGGAAGCTTGCCGGGTCACCGCAGTGCCAAGCCTACCTTAGCCCCAGGGAAAAAGCAAGGAGTGGAAATAATTAATTGGAGCTCATGTGCCTGTATTTTGATACCATGTCTATCCCTGTTGGTAATTTCCCCCCTTTCCTCTGTGGTAGACTACAGCGAAACCAGGTAGGCAGAGATGAAGAGGGTAGGTGAAGTTGAGGATGGGCAGTTGTTACCTGGCTAACCAGAATCCCAGTGACAATGGCCAGCTGGTGAAGCGCGCCCAGAGCACCCCTGAGCGTGGTTGGAGCAATCTCTCCAATGTACATTGGAACCAGGCCTGAAATGAGTCCTGCATGAAACACAGACATGGGAGTTAGACGCAGCAAGGACTGGCTCAGCAGTGATACTCTGGTGTCCACACCGTCAGGGGCTTGGCTAGAAGAAGTCTTTGTCTTTAGCCACAGACACAAGTATGCACAGAATAATGGTGGATGTGAACCCAAATGAAGTTGAAGTTGGAAATACGAATCGTTAGGCATGTCTTTGGCAGGTCCTCATAACATTGTTTTGCTTAGTTGAAATTATATGTTACTATCGTTTTAGATGAAGATCAAAGATTATAGCCTTCAGTATTGATTACAATACTGTCACTTTACTGTCACTTAATGTGACAGAAAACAAAATCCTCACAACTGGACCAATAGTTAACATGGCGCTTAACAGAGAAAAGATTGAAGTTGTCAAGGATTTTGTCTGGCTTGGATCCACCAACAATGCTCATGGAAGCAGCAGCCGAGAGGTCAAATGATGCGTTGCACTGGGCAACTCTGCTGCACACGACCTCTTTAAAGTGTTGAAAAGCAAGGATGTTACTCTGGGGACTAAGCTGCACCTGACCCAAACCTGGTCTTTTCTTTCTTTTTTTTCATTACCATACTGAATTTATTATTCCAATGGCACTCACACAGCTGGGGGTGTGCTTGGTAAGCACACACACAACTCCCTCCTTGCCTCTGGAGGCTGGCTGTCCACAGAGAAAGGGGCCTCCCTCGTGCCTTCCTGAGAGACTGGAGAGCCCACAGAGGGCCTGTCACCCGGATAAACCTCCCAATGCTATAGAGGGCCTGTTACCCGGATAAACCTCCCAATGCTATATATATCTATGTATCTCTCTCTGTCTCTCTCTCT